GGTGCGTGCGGCCGGGGGGCGGCGGGTGGTGCGCCGGAAAGTTGGCGGGGCTCGAGGGCCGGCGGAGGGGCCGGGGGTCCGCGGGTCCGCGCCGCGCCTTTCCCCGGCCCGGGGAGCTCCCCACGTGTCGCCGCGCGCCCGAGCGCTGCCGGCGGAGCGGAGGGGCCGAGCGCCCATCTCCTGCCTCAGCCTCCGGCCGGCTGAGAAAGGAGGGCAGGAGCGAGCGGTCGGTATTTTGCATTGCAAATCTGCGAGCGCCAGCGCGATCCGCGCGAGGCTTGTTTTCCTTTCGGTGAAGGAGAGCGTACCCCTCCGTGGCTCGGGTTTGCTTTTTCAACAAACAGCCGTGGCTGAAGGGTTTCGCGGTGTCCAGCATGGTGCGAGGAATGCTCTGATGTTTAGGAAAGAGCGCAAACACGAGCTGGGACTTCGGCACCTTGTGTTATGGAGCGTAGGGATGTTTGGATGGGTCTTAAGTTTGTGGGCTGTAATGCCTTTAAATTGATGAGATTTTCTCCTTTGTTTCTGTACGGGCGTTCTGAGAGTTGTGCTTGTTTTTTCCGATTGCTTCTGAAAGTGAGGTTGGGAAAGGTCGCTGTCAGCTCCTTGTGAGTAAGCAGAGGTGTCTGCGTGTGCTCACAACGCCCGTGCCTTCATACATCACAGAATCATCATAGAATCATTGGAGTCGGAAGGCACCACTAAGGGCCATCCTTTGCAACCCCCTGCAGCGCACAGGGGCACCCACAGCTCCAGCAGTGCCCCATGCAGCCTGACCTTGGGCAGGGATGGAGCAGCACCACCTCTCTGGGCAACCTGTGGCACTGCCTCACTGCCCTGATTGTGGCACAGGTGTGACAGCCATCAGGGCTTCCAGCAAGAGTCCCACTCTTAGAGACAAAGGACCTCTCCATACCGCTCTGCACACCTTCACTGCACGATGTATTTTCTGATTGTGTGGCAAAAGCAAAATTCAGACCTGTTCTAAACAGAGTGTGGCACACGTTCTTTCTGATGGGTGGTGGTGTGTTCCCATCCCATGCTTGGGCCCAGATTTCCTGCTGTGAAAGGGAGCTCCAGCTCTTGGGGAAGGCAGTAGAGGCTGCACAGATCCTTGATGCAGATAGATTTGCCTGCGCTTTGCTAAGACTTCCCAAAGTGCCAAGTCCCCACCCGACACTGCCAGCTTCTGTCAGGGCTCTCTGTTTCCTAGAATGAGATAATCACAGCACAGCTTGAAGGGACCTTAAAGACCCCCCAGCCCAACCCCTGCCATGGGCTGGCTGTCCCCCACCAGCTGAGGCTGCCCAGGACCCATCCAACCTGGCTTTGGGCACCTCCAGGGATGGGGCACACACTAAGTTTCAGTTCGGAAGGGTGTCTTGTATTATCTGTCACTGGGGTTAGTTTAAAATTAATCCAAGAGCAGGAGTTTGGCACAGTTGGTGCAGCACCCTGCTGCTGTGCACAGCCAGGAGTGGCAGCCAGAGGGGTGGTATTTCTAACAGCACTGCTGAATCTGCCTCCTCATCATCTGAACCCAGAGCACTGGATTTTCTTGGAGTCACAGTTCCAGCTCTGCAGTGTGTGTGTCGTGGCTAGGTAGGAAACAGAAAGATGCTTTTTAATTTAGTGATTAAAGTTTTTCCCCTCTAAAAATTTGTGATTTTAAGATGTTTTGGTATCAGGTCGCATCACCCTTCCCGCTCCCCTGACTGCGTGGCAGGAGTAGCGGGCTCAGCCTCTGCTTCTGGAGCAGCGTTCAGTAGAACAAGGCAGTGGTATCCAGAGCAGAGCCAGGTTTGCCTCGACAGCACACAGGGCTGACCTGCAGCTTGCTCATGACCTTGGTATTGGTGAGAGCAATGGCAACATGAGACACTGGGGCTCACAGACCTCCCTGGGGTGCGGTGGGACAGGAGTGATTACAGCTGCTGTAAAGACATCCAGTTCAGCAGTCCCAGGTTTGAATCACCCTTTTGAGATGTTTGTTTTTCATGCTCCTGTTTTTCTTGGTCGGTCTCCTTCCCCTCGTTTGCCATCTCTGTGCCAACTGTGCCATGCCCTGGGTTCGGAGAAGCACTGCTGTTGGAGTCATGGATGTGCTATTTGCTGAGGTGCTGTAGCCCCTCTTGCACCTACCCACAAGAGATAGGCTGGAGCTCTTTGTGCAGAGCAGGTAAGGACAGTGAGCTGCTGGCAGGGCTGCCTGCAATGTGTGGCCCAGAGGGCAGAGCGTGAGGTCCGCTCTCTGTTCTGGTGGCTGCCGTTGCTTCTCTCTGTGACTCAACCTCTTCACGTCTCATTTGGCTAGGTCTCTAAAATGAGGCCTCCTTTTTAAGCCACTCGGAGATCTCCTGATGCTAAATGATGTGTAACAACAAAGTGCTATAACATTATAATGTTTATATGAAGGGCATTCCAAAGGCCCTTATGCTAGGGCGTTCCAAAATGTATAAAGCGCAAATGAAGAAGAAATTCGAGTTTGCAAAGTTCATCCCAGCAGTACAAATACAGCTGGAGTGCCTCTTTCTCTCTTTAAGGCCGTGCAGATCCCTGGCTGTGCTCTGACATCAAGGAAGTCGTGCTGGTAAATAAGAGATCTCAGTGCTGCTTCAAATTCTCTACCCATCTCTGCCATCCTTGCAGAAAGAGCCAAAGTATGAGCTATTCTCACTTTGTGTTCTTATTTTATTCTATATGCTCATCATTCTGACTCCTTAGATGTCACCTGTATAGAGAGGTGTAAGCGTAGAAAACAGTCCTTTATTAAGTGAGACCATCCATCAAACTGTGATGACTTGGGTATTTCAGGGGAGGCATCTGAGTCGGGTCCTTCACCAGATTGCTGTCACAGTCAGAAGAAATAACGGGCAACAGTCAGGGTTTTTTTTTTCCTCTTCTCTGCGTGTTTTTGGCAGGGCAGCAAGGAAAAGCGCGGGCTGAATATGCAGCCCTTACTCATGGGGATAGGCACATCTGAGCAAATGGCATGATTCAAGCATGGAAGATTTGGGTTGCTTTTAAGGCTTGTTTTGACTTGACAGGCATGATGTACTCAGAGCGGTGAAGCACAGCCTGCCGGGTGCGTTTTGACCAGCTTTGATAGTTGCTCTGGATCCAGGGCTCAAGCTCTTTCTATGGGCAGCCTACCTCTTCTGGAGGGCTGTGCAGGACTGGGAACATCCATCTCAATGATGTGCTTACTGCAAGCATCCATGCGATCCCATTCCTCCATGCAGGGGAAGCTGGGAGCAGATGCCCTGGCGTGTTCCTTTTCTGCCTCTGCACTGGCTGGAAAAGCTTTCGAGACTAGAAGGAACCACGTAGGCTGTTCCCTTCTGACCTCTTTGCCTCGAAGGGCATTTCCCTATGTATCTCTTTACTGCCAAAATAGCGTTGAAGAATCTTGGTGTGACAGATCCTGGTCATGTAGCTGGGAATTAAGTGAAAATTCCCTGGTTTCGTTTGACTGTTTTGGTTTGCACAAAGCAAGAAACCCAAACCAAACTTTAGAGGTCATGCAATGAAAGCACAAGAGCAGTTGTTTTCCTCACCTCTTCAGTGAAGCGGGGACTGCGTGAGAGTAATCCTAGCCCAGATGTAATGCTGTAATCGCTGGACCCCTGGATATGGGAATTTACCCTCATAAACTAAGGAGAGGCGTCAGGCCAGAGTGTGGTATGTGACCTCTTTGGCAGGGAGCTTGTTTGGCCTTGCAGGAAATGACTTGTTCATTTATTTAGTTCTCGTTCAAGGTCCTGCACCAATGGATGACAGGAAAGGAAGGCTCCTATGCAGCCAGCTACAACTCAGGGAACAGCAGGGCTGGCACGTGGTGGTGTGTGGAAGGAAGGCATAGGGGGACATGCTTAATGATGGGCTCGACTTCCAGCCTGTGCTTACAGTCATGGTAGAGCAGGGCTTATATGCCTGACTGATGTTGGGCTTGCTTCAGGGTCTTGCCAAAGCTGTGATTGTGAGGTAAACGCCACCTGAAATCACGGGGCTGTGGTTCTCAGGATGTGGATGCAGGATGATGAGGAATAGGCGGTTTACTGCCTTGAGCAGGATGTGAAGGCAGAAGGTGGCTGGCCTCCCAGCTGTTCCTAAACAGAGCGAGTGCAAGGCTGACACCGTGAATAGCAGAAAAGCTCAACAACAGCTGTAGTTTCTTCGATGTCTATAAAGGGAAGGTAGGCTGGGGGCTCCATGTCTGCCTGCGCTGCTCTGACTGCAGACAGTCCTGCCCTGTGCTGCTTGCAGCTGCTCTTTCCCTCGGAGCCCCTTTTTGAGCAGGGTCACACACCAGCCCAGGGTAGTCTTCTGCAAAATCTGCTCAGTAAAATGTCTTGCAGAGGGGTTTAACAAGCCAGGACAGGAAGAATCCTTGGGTGGTGCTTCTGCTCTGAATGGCCTGGCTTCTGGTAAGGCTGGCCTGTTTGACTTTTTTTTTTTTTTTTCTCTGAGCCCTTCATTAGTAGATCCCTCCATCTGTTGATGTTAAGTGGCCCTTAATGTTGAGAAGTCTGATGGACTCTGTCCATTTTTGGTCAAAGACTGGCAAAAGGAAGAACTTGATTAGACCTGTCGTACATCTACTGGAATTTGCTCTATCAAATAGTGTTATCTTGCTCTTTGTATCTGTCATAGTTTTCACAGAAGTAAATGGCAGGCGTTACTTTTGGAGCGAGTTACATATATGGGAGATAGTTGGTTTGGGGTTCAAGAGGTACATCGGTCAGAAAAGAAAGGTTATGGAGAGTGTGCCCCATATGATAAATGAGAAGTGGTCCCCCACCATATTCTTATCTCTAAATCGGAGGGAGACCGTTTGAAGGCTGGACTGTTTCACAGATAAAGAGGGTTGTGGTCAGTGGCTGTATGTCTGGGTTGAGGCCAGTGAGGAGTGGTGTCCCCTTGGGGTCTATCT